ACTTTCCTCCCTAATTTTATGAAAGCAGAAGGAATGGACTCTGTTTGGAAATGCCAAATTTTCATTGAATTATAACCGATACTGCACTTCAACAGTTTATAGTCCCCAAAGCTCCAACTGTGATGAAGAGGACCCAGGGGATTAGATTGCATCACAGAGTAATGAAAAGACAGACTGGATAAACAACAGAAATGCAATTCTCCAATCAAATGAGCAAAATAAAAGAAAGCATGCAAAGCAGCGTGAGAGAAACCTGGAGGAGAACATCAGTGAATCCTTGACCTGCAAATGAGCAGGTCGGTTTGGATTAGCAGGGAAAACACCCGGGTGGGGTGGACAGGTGGGGGTTTTGGTGTTAAAGGTGAAGCGAAACAGAGACAGATGGAGGTGAGAGGATGTGAGCCCGAGGAGGAGGAAACGAAGTGAGAAACTGTGAGACATTGATACGAATGAGTGTGCAGCAGAGAGGACATGAAGACAAAGAGAAGACGGATGGAGACAGGAGGATAGGAGGAGACGTCCACCGCAGCTTCGTCCATCTGTTATCTGTGAACGGCTCTATCTCAGCCTCTAACCAGCCGGGTGGCATTTAGAGCCTGGACGTGTTCTGTCCAGCCTGATGTTTACTCAATCATTGTTTATTAACCTGCTGAGCGAGAGGCGAGGCGCTGGGACGCCGGCTGCGCTCAAACTGCCCCCGTCACCAATACTGCAGATAAGCAGAGGCTGAGTGCCAGTTTCAGGTCTGGATTCTGCTTCATCAGCAGCAAAACAGGGAAAGAGAGAAGTTTGCTTTTCCACTGCCTGATGGTTTAAACCTCTGAGAATACACAGATTTTATCAAGCAAATATTAATAAACACAAGGATTTCTTCCAGATTAAAGTTTTTGGGCTGTGCATGCAGCAGTTCTTGGGTTTGTATATTTTAAGAAACAGAAACAGGCTTAGTGCTGCTTAAGAAGAGCTATAATTGTTGGAGAGAATCTTTAGCTGAACTCAGCATGTCCGTCCTCTGAACTTTACATAACGTTAACGTTGACATCCTCTCCGCCTACAGAAACTTTCAGTATCTTTGTTGGAGATTCTGCAGGGAAATGGAAGTTGAAGGATAATAAACCATTCAGTGATTTATAAACTAACAAGTAAATAATTTTCAGACATCTGCAGATAATCCAGGAGGAAGCTAAGAAAAAAGAAAACACAGGTCGCAGTAACAACCTTTAGTGGAGCATTGACTGCAGCTTCTGTCTGTTGGGATGTAGAACCAGGATTAACGGTGTTGGGATATGATGGACTTCACTGTCACAAACTTCTGTCATAATTATCATTTTCAGCCATTGTTTAAATCCAGGTTTGCCGTGACTCACTTCTTCTGGTGCAGAATTATGACGCACGTCTCAGATCAATGACGAGAAATTCCAATAAAGTCATTCAGACAATCGAATACGTATCGGATTTAGTAAAACAAACAGAAGTAGCAGAAATCAAAATGAATTGGGTCATTTTGAAGGCTCATTTCCATGGTAATGACCTTTTGGCCAGACCAAGTTGTGACGGGCTCCAGAGGGAAACGTTTCAGAAACTCTAAGCTCATCATAACCAAACACATTTAGAGACGCGAACACAACAACAAAGACGGGCCGTCGTCTTCGGGTTATTTGGTCGTGTTCAGGCTAAATCGATTTGTTTGGAAACGTCACATGCACTGGAAGAAAAGCGTAATGAAAACACGCCTCACACAGTTCTACCGCCTCCCACAGGCCTGCATGCACACTGCATAGTTTCCATAGTTGGTTTTCATTCCATGGTTGATGTAAATGTAAGTGGAATGTTTTTCTTTCACACACATGATAAGGTTTTGGAAACATCGTGTTAAAAGGCCAAAACTTCTGTGGACATCCTGGTTGTAAGCAGATGGAATCAAACTAAATATTCTTTGATATTACAAATTCTATTCAATATTTTAACTGCATCAATTTGTCTTTATAACTATAATGGGAGTTATAATGTGATTACCAAAAGGATCTAACCTTTGACACCTGGTGTCTAAATCCAGCTAGTTTGTAAATCGTCTAATTCCAGCTTCCTCTAAACCAATCAGTTCAAATAAACAGCTGATGGAAACTGAGGGAGGAAAACACACAGCATCAATGAAGCTGGGATCATTTTAGTTATACAACTGCTACAAGTAACTACATGTACGCCTTCTCATGCTTTCATATGTCTTTTTATCACAGGCTGTTGATAGTATCTGTCCTTCAATCATTCAACAGAGCAAAGAGAAACCAGAACCTCTGCACACGCAAGAGGAGGAGAGTGGATAAAATGGAAAAACATCATGAATAAGAAAGAAAAGCCTTGAGAAGTTTCTCCCTGCAGGCTTCAGAGCTTCTCTCTAACGCGCCTCTCTGTCAGATTCAGGCAGAGAAGATCTTGAACTGGACAGAAACATATGTCAGCTGCAGAAACCGGGTCGCAGGGCAAACTGACTATGGAGAGGCTTCAGAATCTGTTCAGTACATTCAATAATCAGCAGTCAGGATCAGGATGAGAGATTAAGAAATGTTGATGCAAACGCTAATAAAGCAACTCATGTTTGGGATTATTGTCCCACTTGTGTCCAGGCTTTAGCTTTCAGGCTGAGTTCAATATTCCCATCTAATATTGTTTCCATATGAGCCTTTTGTGAAATAAAAATCACCTCATCGTGACGCAGCCGCCACCTTGCTTCACAGTTCACAGATTTGAAAAGAACCTCTTTTCCTCACCAAACAATGACCCAAGAAGGTGGTGAGGTTGTTATTTTCCAGAGATATTGACTGTGCTCATTTTATGACACAGTCAATAACTTCAGTTTAAAATGCTGTTTACATCAAACATTACGTAAAGGAAATTTGATTTTATTATTTGATTTCATCTTGAAATGGACCTTTAAGAAGCTCCTGTTCTTCCAGCCAACAATGATCCTCCATTATGCTGTTTACACCTGTGATTAGGAGCATTGGACTGTTCCTCCAGCTGTTTGCTAATTCCTGATGCTATTTTTAATTAGTATGGGTACAACTCTTATTCAGCTATCCAAACTTATTTATTTACATTTATCTTTTGGGATCTCTGTCTCTTTTTCAGCTGCATGTAAAACATGAAAGTGTCCAACTATGATTTCTCTCTCCTCTTAAATGTCCTGGAAACTGGAACAGGGGCAGAGTTTGGCCTGTGCGTGTTTCATTGTCTGAGATGAGAATAAACTTCTTCCTTTACTGACACATGTAAACGAATCAAAAAAAACTTTATTCTCAACCTGAAACAACAAGTTCTTCTATCACTACAGAGCAGAGAGATGGGATATTTAAAGTCAGACATCACTGGCGGTTCAGACACACGTTTGTCTCAAACAGTTCATCTGTGACTCAGTGACCTTTCTGTAAAGTGATTTGATCACAGCGACGGTGTAACCAGAAATGACCTTTAAGTTCATTTCAAAAGGCTGGGAGAAGAACTGCTGATCTGAACCGAAATAATGACACCAGTTCTGGAGAAACTGGAGCTCCAGTAAGTTTATAAAAGTTCATTCAGAGGAGAGAACCTGGACTGGTCAAACTGGGAATCCAGGCCTGGGAGTGACTCAGGTCAGATGGAGGAGGATAGAGGAGTCAGATGATGATGATGATGATGATGATGATGATGATGATGATGATGATGATGGGTTTACAGTCCTGTTCCAGTAAACTGGGAGCAGTGGGTTTTTTGGGTCCAGCTCATGCTTTTTAGGAGAACCTTTGGTTCTCATTTCCTGTGGATGATGAATCTGTCTTAGTGGGACAAATGGAAAGAGAACCACAACCAGAGACCTGCTTTGCTCCAGTCTGCTGGATATTTTTAATTGCTGTGCAGCCATATAGTCAAATGATTACATAAAGAGATTTTAATCACTTTTAAACTGAAAATGTTCTGTTTTCTCCCACTTTTGTGTTGAATTCAGTCATTTGGAACAAAACTCGCTCAACAAACCAAAAGCTGCTGTTTTTGAAAAATGTTTTTTCTCTCATACTGACATAAATCAAAAAGTCAATAGACAGCCAACATGAAGTCCGGAGTCCGTCTGTGTTTGGCGACTCAGATAATCCCAAACTGAGCTGGGTGACCTTTGCCCCGCTCCGTCCTGAGAAGCCAAATGAGTGAGACGCCGATCTTCTCCGCGCTCGTCCGTGAAGCATTAGGGTTCATTAGGCACCGCTCAGCAGCCTGAGCGCCGGAGGAACACACACATCCAGTCAACCTAATGGCTTCTCCTTGTTTGTTATTCCTCCTCCGTCTTTGACTCCACACTGGGAGTAATCAGCTGCAGCGGGCGGGGAGGGCAGAGAGGGCTCCGGTTTGTCAAAGAGGCCTCTCAGAGAGGACTTTCCCTCTCACTGACTGAAACATCATTTCCTGCAGAAGCAGCACACTGCTGCTATTGAGACGTTCCCCCCTGCAACGTTTCCACTACAACCTTTTATATTTACTCCTGACCCGCGGACCTCAGGAGGAGCATGCACACCGTATCAGCTTGCAACGAGTCCAGGGTCCCTGCAGCCAGTCAGAGACACAGCGGAGGCTTTCAGCACTTCATTCCAACACAAACAGTCCCGGCGCTTTTAAAGCAGCTGCACAAGCCCACATTCTAAATAAAGACCCCACCGATCAGCAGCCTGCGCGACAGGATTTAACAGCAGCCCGGCCGTAAAGCACGCTACATTAAACCCACTTTTTCCTTTGCTTGTGCTGTAAGAAGAAAGGCCTGACGGTTCGCTGACGTTTTGAGGCCAAGCCAGGGATGAGACGGGAAGGGAAGAGGAGTCTGCTGAGGAAATAAAAAATACAATCCTGCCTGCCCTGACCAGATGCTAACTCTGATTCATCGAGGCGACGAGGCAGTCGCAAGAATACGAACAACCCGATGAGAAGCAAGAAATCCGAGGTCACGACCTCCATGCAACAGCAAACATTGGGATTACCTGCAGGTCGAAGAATTTGCTGTATCTTCGGTAGATGATGTGCGACGTGTTGTCAGAGTAGGTGACATTGATGACATACACCTGCCGAGAAAAGAGAGCAACAGCAGGAAGTTAGCGATTCACAGATTTAAAACAGGCACAACATTCATTTTGTTCTACTGGCATTCCCAAGATAAACATGGATCTCCAAACTTAGTATCACATCTAGAAGCGGGTCATTAAAGTCCATTTTATTTCTCATGTTTCAGATATGTCAACTCATTTTCTCCAGGGAAGATGGGGGAATTGCTTTTCTCTCGCAATGATGTACTGATAAATTGATTTGGCATAATTGAAAACTGTAAGCCTTTCATACGGTGGTCATCTTACTTTCTGGTATTACATACAGTAGCATGAATGCAGTTAAAGCAACAAATCTCCAGCTTCCAACCAAAGACATTTTCTGAGTGAAAAGATTTTATAAATGTCCCTGAAGCCACCAAAATGAGACAGATTCCAAACTGAAGCTGGATTCGTAAATAAACAATAAACTACAGTTAAAGTATTGCAGAGTCCTACTGATAAATGCACAGCCTGTTCAAACAGAAAACTCTAACCATGAAATATTATCGGTGGGATTTGTTTCCTCTTGGTTTGTATTATGGACTGATTTCTATGGCAATATGTCCTGCATTTCAAAATGCAGGGACCAAATATCTGTTAAATACTAAAAAGTGTTGCAATATTGATTCCATATTCAACTCTGCTGAGTTTGGTTGAATTTTTCATGATCCCAAAAATTGAACCCAAACTCAGCAGATTTCTGTATTTTGGCTGAAACTGGGACATGGTTCATGTCCTGCTTTGAAATGAATAAAACAGGAAAACAAAGAGTTCATGACTACTGACCCCAACTCTACTGAAAATTTAAAAACTACCCTCAACAACCAAGTCAACGATTGGAAGCCAACAATTTTAAGTGAACTCAACCCATTCTACCAAGAAATGTGGTCAAAAATCCAGCCAGAGAAATACCAAAGGATTTCCAAAAGACAGTTGTCAATCTAGATGTTTGACTTAACTAAATATTCATTTTTTTATATATAGATTTGAGTCTGTATGTATGATTTTGATCCTGTAACTCTTTCCAACATGTCCTAACATGTGGACAGAGATTTTATTTACATCACATCCTTGTAAATTCATAACCCCATATTGTTGAAGGCCGCTGCCTCCAGGGTGAAACATCACACTGACCCGCCGTCGCCGCTCAGCCTTGGCTGAAAAACTGCAGCAGCCCTGAGAGGCCTGATAAGATGAGATACAGTCCATTTATCTGTCAAGAGGAGGTAAGTGATGCCACCATCATCTCTATTCTAATAAAACATAGATAACCAAGGTAGTAGAGCCCAGGGCCAGGACACTTTCAGCAGAGGCATTAAGAGCAGGTGGGAGCTCACACTCTCACACTGGGATGTACGAAAACACTCAAGCTTTTACAGAACACTAAGCTGCAACTTTCTGCTGGAAAATTATTGGAATAAAAGGAAATCTGGTAACATAGTAATTGATATCTGCAAATGTTGAAATATGTCCGGGATCTAGATGGTTTTAGCTCTAATAATAGCTGTAGCTGCAGTGGGAACATTTGAAAAAGGTAACTTCAGCTGCTCATCAAATAAAAGCCAAGAAATAATGAGCCTAACTTGTCAAAGAAAGTGCAACAGCATAGCTGCAGTTTTAAGAAAGAGCATCTGAAATGAGCCTGACTGACAGAAAATTGGCTGATATGAGTAGATAATGATCTGCATGTAGCAGCACAGTCATTTACAGAAGAAATAACTGAAGAAGGAAGCGGTGACTTCTATAAATTAAAATCTGGAGTTCTGCACAGCCGCTTTGATGCCGACGGGGATCCTGAGAGCGATTCCAGAGCCGCTTATTAAACTGATGTTTAATTTAAAGCTGCTGCTATTTGATTACTGGTTAGAAAAACCCACAGCCAAACTGAAATACTGAAAATCCTTAATGGTTTGGTGATAATTCAGCAATTAGCAAAGATCCATAAAAAATAATAAAATGCCACAAGTAATGTGCTATGTACTCTGTTAAAAATTTCAATAAAGGGTAAATATATCCCTTAGATTAATAAAGTAAGATTTTGTTAAAATCTAGTTATTTTCTGAGCTCTGTAGTTTTTTTTTTTTTTTTACTAGAAAAATAATTTAAAGGAAAACAGGGCAAAGAACTTTGGCGTTTATTTGACTGAGTTTGCATTTTGACACCTTCCATGTTTTTTACTAATTCTGTATATTACAAATATTAGTCCTCAGTGATCATAGTATCTTTGTCTCACCGCACTGGAAAGATTTAAATTCAGCTTTTCTGCATCTTCCTCAAAATCTTTACTTCATAACAGACTGCAGACCCTGCATTCGGACATCCTGCTTATTTGTGCTGCCCAACAGTTACCTGGCAAATATAGGAATCACCATGAGAGTGACTGGGCTAACAGCTGGAAGGTTTGATGAATGAGCCAAGGTTTCCTCTGGACGTTTTTAGATCAAATACAGCTAAAGCATCAAGAATAAGCAAGATGATAATATTAATTTATTTGCTTTTCATAATAAAAACATCAGTCTGAGCAGATAACCTTCTCTTAAATAACATCCTCCCATCAGCTGAAGGGACTCCTGCTTCCTTTTCCAGCCGGCCGCCTCCGACTGACTGATTGCGCTCCATCACTTCATCCCTCTGTACCTGCCAACAGCCTCCTAAGCAAAGCGAGACGAATGAGATCAAGTGGAAGACCCTGACGTTGACGTAAGAAGGGCAACAGCCGGAAACAAAAGCGCTGCAGGTTAAAAAAAGGCCTGGTTGCTGTTGGATGGGGGTTTGAGCTGCTGCTGGCAACGAGCCACCGCAGCATGTTTCCCTGCAAGAACAACTCCTGGCATCCAGAAAGCTGTAATAGTCACATGCCACCGTCAGGCTGGTTCTGAGCGCGGCGAGGCGTCACCGCAGCGATTACTGCCATCGATTATCACCGTGGAAGTGTGCTACTGGGGTAATAATCTCATGAACAGCCTCAGGAAACAAAGACAATACATTTCTTTGTGGCGTCTGTATATTAACAAGGTGAGGCTCTTTTTACAGACATAATAACAAAACCACTTATGAGGAGGCGTCTGCAGACTCGGAGCTTCAGATTCTTCAGAGAGGAAGTTTGGAAAGGAGGTTAGTTTATTTAGCATCCTGCTGACAACAGGGTAAGGCAGTCAGTTTTATCATGAAATCACAAACTTTACATACCACAAACCCCTCTGTCAGGCAAACATACCCACAGGTTGATACTGCCACCACCGTGCTACATTCAGTACACAGTGCAGAGTTCAGTCTTTGTGAGGATTTAGTTGCTTTTTTTGGCAGAACTGATAGAGTTTCCAGCAGACATTGAACATTTTATTTTCTTTCACTGAGAGACAACATTCAACATGTCATTAACTTTCTGAAAGGAGAGAGGCATGGTACCAGGTTGTAATAAAAGAAAAGAAAAATGCTTTTTCCACCTGCAGTAACTGGACAGGTCAATGGTAATCAATTATAGTTTAAAAGATTATGAATAGATTAATTAATTACATTATGATCAATAAATTATCAATCCCATCTACCTAAAGCCAAACAAACAAATCAAACACTTTGGAAAAATATTGTTTTATCTCCTGCAGTAAAAAGTACAATCTGCTCAGTTAATCGGCATTTCTTTCCAAATGTGTTGGAATTAGTTCATGTTATAATCTTACTAAAACTATTACAATGAGTTGGAGCAACTAAAGCGAAGGTGATTTTTAACTCCTGCAATTTGGGCTCATGTCATTTTATCTGATCTCAAAGTAACAGAACATATTAAAGAAGGAGCAGCAAAATTATGAGTTTTATAAAATGAACAGATGTTTACAGCAGCATCAGATTTAAAAAAGAAAAAAAAACATTTGGAAAAAATACGAGTGATGATTTTGTGAAGATTTCCAGTGAATTTTTGAGATTATATATTGATTCATGAGGCTTTGAAACTGTTGCATTTTAAGGACTTTTGACATAATTTTAATGGTTAAGGTCGGATCCAAAGTAGGTAAATTCATCTATATTCAAAGCTGCTGTAATACATAAACCACATATTTTCGAGGATGCTGGTCAGGCCGTTTGCAAGGCTGTTCCAGATGCCTGGCGTACAGCTGCAAAACTTTCATTTTAGAAATGGTCCTTAGATAATTCTCCCACTCTGAAAAAAGTTCAGACCAAATAAATCAGTGGCAGCCCAGTAATAAATGTGAAGCTGATGCCCATAAACGGGTTTAATTCCCATCAGATGCTCAGATGAAGCGCTAGAGACGTCTGGAAGATCTGGACCCGCAGCGAAAATCCAAACTCCAGCAGCAGATGGGCATGTGATGGCAACCGCAGTGGAAAACAGAACCGCCAGCCATCATGCTCGGGCTGGCCCGGCCCAAAATATCAAGCTCTGCCCTGCTGCCCTGCCAGACCCAGAAATAAACTCAGCCCACTTCACACGGGCCGTAAATTTTGCCTGGGCTCTGCTGCTCGCAATTCATCCTGCACTAAATATCAAGAACTGATTTTTATTTTTATTGCGTGTTGCATATTTAGCAGGAAGCAGATCTGAACAGGGGCCAAGTTGTGAGCACCAAGTGCAGATAAAATGCACAGAACTCAATGAAGAAATGACTCAGTTCATCCGTCTGGCGGAAATATCCATATGACAAAACCTAACAGAGAATTCAAAACTACTTTTCCTTCCAGAGACGTTTTAACTGCACAGATTCTGAGTCAAAGAGTTAGAGATGTCTTTTATTAATATCTTTTTGTGTGTTAAAATGCTGCGCTTTGAAGCTTATCAAAATCTATCAAACCATTAAAAGAAACACTTGATGACAGACAGTGAAGATTTCAAGTTAAATTTCTCTTTAAAGGCATCGAAATAAGCGACTTATAAACAGGAAAAACACAAATGAAGAAAACAGAATCCAAAGAAACGCTCCAGGGTCTGGTATGTCCCAGATAGGAAACCGAAAGAAGAAAAA